GTATCTAACTAATCACTGTTCTACCGGGTGTGCGTCAAAAACTATTCCCACACCTACAAAGAGATTGAAAAGAATTGCTCCAATTAAATAAAATTCATCACAAAGCCCCAGCGATTGGTTAAGCGTCTGTAATGCCAGCAGAGCAGACACGAGTTCGAGTTCAGTTCATTATTCTCATAAAGTCCTGTCCAGACTCAAATTTTATTTGATAAAAAAAAATTGTTAGGGAGGAGACAAACTTGCTTGTTTCTCTTTGCTTGTTCTGCCAGCAATTAATAGTAATGGTCGTTTTTTACTGCATTTCAGCGTTGGTTCATTAACACATCGTAACTTTTCATGGGAGAAGTAAGAGAGTCATCTAGTAACATAACGCTTTGTTTTTGTTTATAGGAAAATGCCTATTAGGGCCTATGTCTACTGATGCGTTTCCTCCTCTTCCGATTTTAATTCCTTCCACCTGTAACCCACAACTAGTGGCACCTTCAATGTGTCGGGAATTTCAATAACAAAGTATTTCTACTGGTATTTTAAATGCAATACTGCTAAGTGTGGAGTAAACTGCACTGAACATCTAAATTGTATTGTATTTGCCAATTATTTTGGAACTCAGATCAACCAGTTTTGGCTTAACACATTAAAGAAACATTTTATAATATCAAGTTTTTAACTGCTATGAAATTTTTATTTGAATAGAGTTTTCTACAAGCATCTCTGATGTTTTTATAGGACTGTTTGAAATTTAGTGACCAGATTATCGCATTGTATGACAATACAGTTTCAATTACTCCAGACACGCCCATGTGTGTTCCTAAAATGGCCGGCCTTCACTTGCGGTTATTTACAAGGGAATCAAGTTTAACACGTCAGAGTTTTAGCCGACTTAATTGTCAAAAGATGTGAGCTCATGATATTTTGGCAAAACGTGATATTTAGGTGATTGTGGCCACTCAATCAGCGTGGTTATTTCCAATTCGGATGTGCTTTAATTTACTGTGGTAACGTATTCCGATAATTAAAAAAAAAAAAAAAAATACTACTGCGATCAGCTGAGACGAGTTGAAAAGGAAGTAAAAAAAAACATTTTACATCTTTGTTCTTTAAAAAATTATCCAACCTGTAGGTCTGTAGAAACTGTAGGCTCTATGGCTCCATCAACTAAAATGCCATATTTGGGATGGAATAATTTTTTTTTTAAATAAATAGCGGTTTAATAAATAATAGAGGCCTTAGCAATGCACTCTAAATACGATTAGTATTAATATTTATTTAGCAATTATTAATATTTGTTATTTAATTAATTTTCTATTTTTTGTTTCTTTGAAGAAATTTTTATTGGTTTTTTTTTTTTTTTTTTTTTTTTTTTTTTGGGTTTTGGGTGTATGAGTTTGAGCATGAAATAAAAAGAAACAAACAAACCTTTCTTTTTTCTCAATCTCATGCATCAGTGTGTGATTTGCCAAGAAAAAAATAAATAGCAGATGCTTTATAATTAATATGAAGTAAATTGTGACTTGGAAGTTATGGACGAGTGATACCGTCGATGATTACCGTACATTTAAGCAAGTTATGAGAAAATAGGCATAATACAACAATAATCCTACGACGCAGAATATATGTACAAAGTTGAGCTTCTTTTTCTAAAATAGAACATTTACACATTGTGGTTACTATAGCTACACCAATCAGATGTGTGGATAAACTCTTCCTCGGTTTATTTTTCCAATCGTATAATCATTCAGCCAATGGGATGGTACCGTAACTATAGGGTCTGTGCTTTAACCAACTTGAGGAGAGACTTAAGTTCCATAAATCATCTTACTAACTTGCGTTAAAAGCATGTTGTCTTGACACCTTAGATAATGAAATCTTAACGACTGAGAAAGACACTAGTTACTTAGATTCCGAGTAACAGGCAGTAATGTCGGCTACCTGCAGATTATATGCCAATGTATTGCTCCTTGTGGCTAGTGTGTGGTTGCAAGTTTGTATTGGAACAGCAATACCAATAAGTAAGTATCTCTTTTAATTATATATAAATAGGCCTATTAATTGTTTTCTTTTCATATCTAAGAGATTAAAGAAAACATCCAGAGATTCAAGAAGCTAATAACTTGTATGCAGTTCATTAGCTTAATATATATTTTAAAGCTTTAACTTTGGTTAGCGCTGACAGTAGCGTACGTCGAACCACACTTTTATTTTTCCATTTTGAATGCGCCGTGCGGCGTGTCGTCGGCTGTCCGTGTCACGGGGTTGGGGCATGGGGAGTTTCTCCAGCTTCACGTCAATTTCCCCTTACATATTCGTTTCCCCTATTTTATCAAATCTAGCGCCGCCAGTGCCTGTTACTAACCCTTGTATTTATGTACATGTCTGTGTTTCCGTCAGTGGGTCAACTCCTAGACCATGACTATTCCACGTAAAACATAGAATGACCAATTTATATATAAACATAAATAAATATATAGCAGTGCTTATATAGGAAAATAAAATGTAAATATCGTATTTACATAGCCCTTCAACGTTCCTTCTCTCAAGCGGGATTTGAACCTGCAACCTCTCGCTATGATGCCGAGTATCATACCATTAGACCATAGAAACATTGTATAAGCACAAATCTAATACCCAGGCACTTTCTTTCTTACAACTGACTATACGCTCACTCATACTATAGTCGAGAATGGTAACGCTTTCAACGTTGAAACATCGTTCACGTTACGATTAAGCATGGAGGAATAGATTCTAAACTTATTCCTCCATGTTTTTAAGCTAATACAATTAATTATTGTTTATTCATTATAATATTAACTTTGTTTTATACTAATTTCTTATAAATCGGCATCGCTTACAATAGATGAATAGGCCTATCATAGATAGGCTATAACCCGAGAAGAATGTCTTTTTTCTCAGGCCTATACATATACATATTATAGGTAAAATGTAAATAATAAGGCCTGTATTTATCTGTCTACAGATTACTACAATGAAACAAACAACGCAATAAGCTGCGCCGGAGATATGGAGCTAACAGCTTGCCATCGGAACTGTGGCATACAAACAACTTGTGAGGAGCTTTACTACGGAGAGAATTTTTTAGGCGAGCGCAATTGTGCAAGTGTTTGTCACCCAGGGTGCCAGTGCCCGCAGCGAAACGGTGAAGATACCTACCTAACATTTGATGACAGGTGTGTGACGAAATTTGAATGCGGCTGCGTACATCGGGGAGTCTTTCACGGCGTAAGTATCATTAAGGCGATTTTCCACTAGGCGAATTTATTCGCCCGAATCGAAAGCGTCGGTTTATGCGCATGCGCATTTACATTCATATCGCAGTTTTTGCGAAGCGAAAAAATGCGCAACCAATCAGAGCACAGGAAGCGAACCGACACTTTGATTCACGCGGTTCGCTTCCTGAGCTCTGATTGGTTGCGCATTTTTTCGATTCGAAAAAACTCCGATAGGAATGTGCATGCGCATGAAAGTGGAGGCTTTAGCATAATTCATTTATTCGCATCATCACCACCGCCAACTATTCCCAAGTAACGTCCATCATATCATCACTACTACCGCCACAACCACCAGCGAAGTGGTGACGGGCCCCAGTGCAAGATAATTGCCGGGCCTTAAAATGCACCTGATCGGACACAGAAGAGCCTTGGAACTGGTGGAGTCTGCTAGGCGAAACTCCTACCACTGATACATTCCGAGTTTTTTAAAACAGAATATGACATCGTTACTCGCAGAAATATCAATAAAATATTCGAAAAAATATTCAAGAGTATTGAGAACAAAATAAGGTCAAGTCATATATATTTTATTGTTTAGCTGGGCCTATTGGGAATTCCATGAGTCTAAAGTATATAGTATTGACAACAATAGAACAATCATCGGCCTGATTGCAGTGAAATAAAACGCATTCATGAAGTATGATGACCTGACGTGATTCAAAAACGTGCAGAATATATTGAACCAACTTTAAAATTGCAAACAAAACGTCACGTGTCGATATTTCACTTGCAAGGTATCTTTATTCAAAAGATACATATAAACATCCATTAAAATTATTCTATTGCAGCTAAAGTTGAATTTACGGAAGCTTTCAAAAAGAATGTGCTTTCAAAAAGTATTTTAGTGCTTCGTAGGCCTACTGTATGGCCTCTAAAACCTAATATTATTGAGGGGTCCTTTTATAATTTAAGTAGGAATGTTTGAAGTTATGTTGTTAAATCTATAGGCCAATTGAACGGGCCTCCAATAGCCCCTAGTCCCAGTGTTTTGCACTGGCTGCACTTCCCATATATACATACGCCACTGACTCTACAACCATGCAGCTATACAACATACATCAGAATGTGATGCGTACATGCATTGACTTAATGCGCTATAAGATACCGTATATTAGGACCACCAATTAATGAATGAACGTTGGAAGTTGGAGGAGCAACCGAAGACGGACAAAAATAAATGGAAATTCTCAAGGCCAGAAGTGCTCCCACAATCTGACGGTTAGCCAACAGGTTATGGAATTGGCAAATTACTGGAAACCAGCAACGCTGTGCGGACCAATGGGTGGATCCTCTGCGGCGAAAGCAAATTTAAACTTAAATGAACAGAAATCAGTGGCGGATGCAGGGGGAAGGGCAGCTGCTCCGGCCCCCTAAATATTAAAAAAAGGGGCTATTATTTCATATATACAGTCATAAAAAATGCACGTTGGTAAATATTTAATAGGGTATTGTTAGTTCTGAATTTCCTCTGAAACATTAGTCCTTACTGCACACATGATATTGTAATTGTTAGAAAGAGATAGATTTGAATAACATAACATGAATCCAAGGAAAACAAGAAAGTTGTAGTAGACTATCAAATTATATTGACCTAAAATTTGTGAAGGTAAACACCCAACTTCGAAATTATAGGCTTATTTAACGTTATATCAAACATTGCACATGTTAAACATTACATTGTAAACATTGCAGGTCCAATATTTTATGTAAATAAACATTACATGTTCTTTGTTACGTTCGAACTCAAATATTAGGCCTACATGTTATGGTATAAAGATATAAAATTAGGTGTCTCGCCCAGTTACCACCTGGGCCGTTGCCACCTGGTGTCTCATTGCCGCCCGGTCTGTTGCACCCCGCCTTTTGCTACCACCCAGGCCTTTATTATGTATTACTTGTCAAGCGTACATTTTGATAGGCCTACCATTCAAGGGCTAAATAATTATTTCATTTCATCGATAATTTTTATTATTTTTCTTCTGTTTGACATTACAAATTTCATAATTTCAACTTTTCATCTACTTAATAATTTAATAATTTATAAAGTGTATTGAAAAACAACTAAAAAGTAGAAAAATTTTCCTTTGTTCACAGATGAATGAGCGGTTCTTTAGAGGTAGCTTGCTGTGTTCGTGTGATAAAGGCAGAACGCTGTGCAACTCGATATTTGGCTGGTTAATCGAAAATAAAGCCACAGAAGTTTGGCCAGACGATGGCTCTGCTATGGATTCAGAGAAATCATCTGTTCCCGAATCGATCAGCTTTGAATTCTCATCATTAGAATTCAGTAGCAACAGCGACGACGACGAAGCGTTTACATTGAACATGGACCGCCAAAAATAGATTTTATGCCCTTTATATATATTCAAGCAGAAACCAAAGATAAAAATAATGTGCTGATTGCTAATATTAACGCCTAAAAAAATTTAATTTTAGTAGCTAATAATGAGTTATATCTAACAAATGTTTTCAGATGATTCATTTTTTTTCTATTAATATTCATTCAATGCATTATATAGCTTGTTGCTTATGTTTTTAACGGTATTTCCCATAGAGGTTACAAGATGTTTCTCTTTAAGATCCAGCTTATTCTTCTCAAGCCAAAGATGAAGGATACCATAGTCATCAATGACCGTCTCGTAGTTATGAGCATTAATACTACTGTATTCCGTTTCGACGTCAGCAACGATGAAAAACTTTTTTTTTTATCGCTAATATTTTGGCACCACAGCACATTAATTATGTTTGTTGAATGCATACTAAGCTAGATGGACTCAAGACTGCGTTCGTTTTTATGGATGCAAAAGCGTATCAAAGATTTTGTGAAAGATGTACTCTTAGAAGAGGTGCGAAGTTATCCAAATCTGAGATATTAATTCAAGGCCTCACGTTCAGTGATTGATGAATGTGTTAATTCTAAATGGATGTTATAAGAAATGAAGAACAGTATTTCCTTCCTGAATATGCTATATATATGAATCTGAAAATTTAATGCCGTATTTTAGACGCTATCACAGAAACGCATAACCTAGTAAAAAACAGAATATTTATAAACGTTATAAAGGCGGCAACTTTACGGAATAAGATTAAGAAGCTATTATTCAGACAACCAGTTCTACCGCTGAACTGTTGAGCTTTGTCTACATTATCAAATTTCATTTAAAAAAAAGCGTCCCATAAAATGTGATGGAACATAGAGTTGAACACGTTCAACTTTCTTTTATACAATTTGATAATATGTGATGATGTCATCGTACCCAAATAATGGGAACATCAGATTTTTTTTTTTGTCACATAACATTTGATAGTGCAGACAAAGCTTAATTGATATGTGCAGGCACACTTGAAATATTTGCGCAGTGGCGTAACGCCTATGCGCTCTCATGCGGCGGTCTGCAGGGACCCCGAATTCTAGGGGCCCTGAAGGGGCCCTATTCATAGATTCCTCGATCTAACACCCTTACCAAAAAGGACTTTGTTGATAAATAACACCTTAATGTATCTCTGAAATCGACTGTAGTTCATATATCGTATTATAACGATTAAAGAGAGGGCTCTATTATTAAAGAGTGTGGGGAGGGGTGGGGAGCTGCCGGCCTGGAGCCGCCGGCCCGGGACCCCACTAAATTTGTCAAAATATTTTTTTAAATTAAAATGCAGATAAAAAGAAAATTATATTCACAATTTTATGTCTGTGAAGTGCCATTTCCGGCCATCTAAAGGTGCCATATTCATAAATTTTCTTACCTCCGCCCCAATTATGGTGGGTCTGAGGTGGTATACATTCTCCAACTCTGAAAGTCCGTCAATGTCCTGGATCCATATTATATCATTTATTCGTCGTTAAAAAAATTTAGAATAACAATGCACATCTAAAATCCCACGATGGAAATGGTGACCGGGACCCAAAAAGGGCCCCCATTTTCAGAAATACACAGGGCTCCCAGCCCCAGCGTTACGCCACTGTATTTACGCACGCGCGTGTGCGCAAGCGCGTCGCCATACCTGCAGCTAAGTTTCCATAGTAAACTCCATCGTTTCATAATAATCACAAATGCACTTAGGCCTAGATAATAAAAGTTCCTAACTGTGAACACTAAGAAACATGAATTCGTGTATCAAAAATGTCATCATCTTTCTGGTTATCATTTTCGTATCGACTTCAGGTTAGTTATTGAATGCATATTTAAAAAAACTTCTATAAATATTCTATGCTACATAGACCTAGACCTAGGCTATTTACAGCAGAGCCGACAAGCAAATTTAATCAAATTTCCAGTCCTGAATATAATGAAAATGTGCATTTAATATTTTTAAAATCTAGATAATATTACTATTTATAGTAGCAGAGATAATGAGGTGTATTAACTTGATATAATATCATAGATTATTCCCATGTTTTATGTTGGCTCCTTCTATCCATAGACTATATTTATTTTGTTGGTCCTATATCCATGATTATAATTTAATAACAGCATTATTGTATTGCTTATAGTGGTAAAGATGATCAAGATGTTAGCATTTTTGTTTGTAAATAAAAGCATTATATTTTAGTAGTCATGTGAGAATAAACTATAGTTTTATCGTTGAGCTTAAATTGATCGATTATGTTTGGAAGAGCTTCACATGTGAACCATTCAGTATTATCATTATAAACATCATTATCATTATTATTGTTGTTACTGATGTCATCAATACTATTTTGTTATTATTATTAATATTATTAAGTATTATCATCTTTGTTACTATTAATATTAATATTATTATTATTATTATTATTATTATTATTATTATTATCACCATCATCATCATCATTATTATTATTATTATTAGCACCATCATCATTATTATTATTATTATTATTATTATCTACATCAGTCATAATGATGAAGATTCAAGTATTGCTGGCCTGAACTAAAGTATTATAATGTTTGTCATTATCTATTTTTTTGTAAATTAACAATGATATTTCGTATCGATTATTTACAGTTTGAACGTAAGAAAACTTTGCATGAAGTTAGAGGACCTCTCCGCCGACAATTCGTCAAACGATTCTTCATTTTTGTCTTCGTCTTTATTCTTTCTTTTATTTTCACCGCTGGTTTTGTAAAATTCTGTCTCTTCAAAACTGAGCAAGCCGCGCAACAGGGAATGAAATTTCTTTAAATTATCAAACGATTGCATAATTAAAAGTCAAGCCAACAGAGGAATAAAATAAAGCAACATTTATACAAGTATTGTGTTGTATAATTATTAAGTTTGATGCGTCCCTGAAATCAATCCATCTAGCACTAGTCTTGATGTTCTAAAAGCAGTGTAACTCTATATTTCTGTAGGCAGTAATGTTATCAGGTAATCACATACGATAAAATTTACAGACATGGGAACACTATATAAGTTGCATTTTCATTTCATTTATTTCTCTCAATATATACAATAATATTGTAATTGTTATTACTTTTTTGAGGGGGAGGGGGGTGTTGTTTTAATGTTTTAATCTATTGTATATTACACAATACATTAAAACATTAAAACAAATCCACCCCCCCCCCCAAAAAAAAATTGGGCCATAAAATCATTAAAAGACACAGGAAAACCAAAAGGAGAACTGAATTTACTATCAAGTGGTAATTTATAATCACACACACACATTCACTGATGGCGTCAGTTTATTTATAACACACCGGTGATCTTTGGAAGACAAGAAGTTGGGGACGCTGTCTCAGTTTTCCTTATGGCAATTTCGTTGGCAAGCGCGCAGTATAAATTGCGCCCGCGCGTGTTAGATGTTCCCTTGGCACCGAAAAAACACCCCAACAAAACTGCTGTTCTGTACAACCAACTAATATTAAAACCAACGTGAACTGGCACTGTTGCTGTAACGTAACTATCTCTTCGATTTTTAAGAACTTGCTTCTTTTAATTCTATAAATATGATCAAATTTCGTATTGCAACGGTTTCATTAATTATTACAGTATATTTTCTGAGTAGTCCAGATTCAGGTAAATATTAATATAGAGGTAATGACAAAAGGATATCTAATCAGTAAAGCTGCTAAAAAGCAAGCTAATTCTAAGTTTATATAAAAAGACATTATTTATTTTCCCGTTGACTGATGAGATTTTCTTCCTCCATTCTAATTTTTTATTGAAAGCTTATCTAATACAAAAAAATAAGAAACTCAGAATATTATCTTTTTCAGAATTTTTTTCCTCACGCTTGGTTTATCTTTAAACTGGATTATTATTGTTAGTTTCCTTATCAAAAATTCAATATTTAGTCATGTTTTGGTTAAGCTGAGCTAAATTAGCCATTTTGTACAACATGGTAAAAATATAGGAAAAAGAATAATTTTTAAGACTACCGTAAAAACGCCAATGAAATATTTAACTATTCTTCTAAGTTCTCTTTTGTATTTAGCTAAATATCTCACGCATTATTAAAAAAAAAAAAAATCAAAATTTGTATCAGATGTTAGGCCTATACAGTACAACCTCGAATAGAAGCCCCGAGCTTCTTTAAAAAAAAAATTTTTATGGTTTTTTTTTTTTTTTGTTTTGTTTTTGAGATGGGCTTCTTTTCGAGGCTACATTTGCAAAGTAAATAGGGGGCTTCTTTTCAAAATTAATGCTGTAAATTTTGGGATTTCCTACTATAATACAATAAATAGGTCCACTAAATCAGTCTGTATCATGGAGTGTATTAACCGGCATTAAATCACCTAAACTACTGTATAATCTGTAAGCGTGTTTTTAAATTTATTTTGTTTGTTTGAAATTCATGTACAGTGTACACACTCTACTATCTCTAAAAGAAGGCAATGCTATCTTGAAAATCAATCAATCTTTTCAAGGCTACTTTTACAAACTAAAGAGGGGGATTCAGTTGGAGATGGGCTTCTTCACGAGATTAAGCCCATTGGGCTTCTATGATTAGTATTACAGGTTTAAATTAAAATTTCTTTAACATGCGTTGCCTCTGCTTATTGTAGTAACTGCTATGGGTAACAAGGGAGAGTTGCGACAGATTGGAAATGGCCAGCCCTACCAACAGCAATATGGCCAGCCCTACCAGCAGCAACCCCCGATGATGTACGAAGGATACAAACCGAAGAATGAAAAGGTGACGTCTTAGCAAGTTACAATGTTCATCAACTCAAATGATATTATACATTAATCATAATTGGATTTTAATTTATTATTCGATATGATGGAAATAAATTTGAAAGACATCACAATCAAAAGGAAAAAGAAAGAATTTTTGCATATCCCGATTGGCGGAAAATACGTCTTTCTCAAAAATTATATTCTTTATTATCATCACCAGGAGAGGTGTATATCTCAATTCCAAAGTTACTATAATGTGCTTTTATAATATTCATTGAGTTTTGAACAATACCTTGAAAAAACATGTCCTGAGAAAATCTAATGGCCTCTACTTGACCTCATAGTTTAGTTTCAGAACGGTAATCGGAAGGTTTGTGGTTCATATCCCATGGGGACGACACGTTGTTTTTTTTTCCCAAGAAAAACAAAAAAACAAAAATCTTTATTTTATAACAAGTGGAGGTGTATAGGCCTATCCATAACTGAGTTACTATCACGAAAAGGAACGTAGCTTTTTCTGTACGTTCCTATTTTATAGGAATCTTTCGCTCTACCTGGCGTGTATCGTAATTAATATTCAGTCCGTTCCAAAATACTTGCCAAAACAAAAATCGCAAGTGATTCGGGTGCGAATCCAACTCACAACCTCTAGATAACTAGCATGGTGTCATAACAACTAGACCACCGAGCTTACGCTAATCCGATCCCCAATTGGGGAACGTACCCGAATATTCAGTACGATAAAACCAGGGATAAAGCCGGGATAAAACGCGGGTATAGGACCGAACACCACTCCTGTGATATTTTGCTGACGCTATTCACATCTAAATAGATATTCAAACATAAACTTCTTTATCTTTTCAGAAAGAAGAAACTGTAGAGGAAGTAGAGGCTCGTTTTAAGCGGATGAACCGAATCTTAATAGCATCGTTTTCTCTAGCAGAGATTTTGATGTCCATCACTGTAATAGCTTCATGTGTGGCGAAAGTCGTTCGGTCACTTGCATAGATAACTTATACCGAAATTACAGCTCAAAGGGGCAAAACCCACGTTTTTAACTAGAAATAAAATACATGAAATTAAGAATTGTAGTTGAGTGTTTAGTGCCACGACGTGTGAATGAGCCATATATTTGTACTTTAGATTGTTTTTATGATAGAAAAATATCAAAATACAATATAAACTTTTTGTTGGAATTTAATCATCACACACATTAAATATTGTTCTGTTGATTTATTTCAGCAATTTCTCAATTTTTACACCAATAATCCAGGGCCATTGATACTGTACCCCAGTTGTTTAAATGTCCGTAGTAATTTTTCATATAGTGTACAGTAATAGTGAAAATAATTTCAAAAATTCTATTGAAGATGTGCAAGATATTGAAATGTGATGTTTACAAATACTGCAAAAGTATTGCAAAGCAATTTTAAGTGATGCAAATGAAAGTGTTGCATTGAAAGCATACAGAGCATTGCAAGCGAAAGGAGAGCAACTAAACTCACTCTGCTAAACTGGTGGTGCAACTGAGTGTTCCCTTTCATTGTTGATCTTGTGTTTCAACTGGTGAGCTAAAATGTCAATTGAAGAGCGAAGTCTTTCACATGGTACCATTATGTACAATGGCCCATGTGCATCTTAAATCCTTCAGAAAAAAAAAAGGTACTGTAATGGCTAATTATCCGAAAGAATGAATAAGTCTTCCGAGTTTCATGAAGTTATACTTGGTGTTTTTTCACAATTTCACAATGAGGTTGCATATGGAAGATTTAAAATTATAAGCATCCAACAAGTGAAAGTGTAGTAAAAATTGAGAATTGTAAAAAATATGGAATAGGTTTCACAAGTGGAAGAGGTGTATATGCATAAGGAACACGACAATGATGGTTAACGACACACTAGGCCTAAAATAAAGTAGTCATCCATGGCGGCAAGTTAATTCCACTATGAGGGCTAAGCTACTGTACTTAGAATGACCATTAAGGGTTCACTGGAATTGGTTCCACATTCTCGATTTTCAAACACACACACCCCCCACCCCACCCCGTCTCCAGGCCAAAACAACCCTACGCTCCTGGGTTGGGATATTTTATTGTCTATGGCTTAATTTTAGGATTTTATCAGCACCCATCCCATCGCTTTGGTTGTTTGCAACCTTGAGGCTAAAATCTATGCATAAGTTAAATTAACTACTGTAATGATTTGAAAGCTTGAAAACTGGCATTATACAAGCGTATGAACAAACATTTAGCAAAAACAAACAGCCAAGCCTAGATTTTGGAGACTTTTGGTCAGTCATGCTTAAGCAACTTCAAAGTTTTAGTTTTGACCTTGCACACTTAAGCCACATTTACACTAGACACGATTACGACACGACAATATCATCGCATAGTTTGTATTCTTCAGCACTGCGCGCATCTGTATCGTGGTGTTGTGTTGTAATCGTGTCTAGTGTAAATGTAGCTTTATACGGATACACAAAATGAATACTAGACTCTCGATTTCAAGGAAAAGGCTCACAGCATTTATTCTTTGCTAATGTGTATACAGGTATTTTACATGAATGTGCAATGTAACAAATACATGAGCCTTTTTAAATGTTTTTCTTTTACTACTATTAAACAGTGCACAATAATGTTTACTGTTTTCTTTAAAATAATTAATATTGTTGTTGCTGTTGCTGGTAGTTGCTGTTGCATTTCACCATGGCTGTTGTAAATTGATTGACAGGCTCCTAGGTCGTCGATGATGACATCAGATCAACACAAGAAATGCTGTACTCCTTCTCCCCGATCTTCGACAACAAACTTAATGGGCTTTCCTTCGGAAAGAGCAGCCTAGAAGAAGAAAAATACCACACACAAAAAAGATAAGATACACAATAAACATGCTGTTACAGCATTTCATATATATATAATATATATATATATATATCTGTCTCTTATACACATCTAGATGTGTATAAGAGACAGGTTCAGCCACAAATACACATATTGAGAGAACAACAAGTAGAGAATATGATAGCTTTGAAATAATTTATCAATTCCATTTCAAACTATCAAAATTTGTAAAATTTATCCCTACTTACTGGCATGGTTGCGTCGCGATGTGAAATTCACATAGGAAAGAGACCTTGGATCACGTGACACTATCCGCCATTGACTATTTTATTTAATTATTTTGGTATATCAAACATCATCATGTATAAACGACAACCACAAGCTGAAATGATTTTGTCTTTTGGCCCGATCATCCGTAATTCACAAAAGCATTCAAATTTTTTGAAGAATAAAAATACAGTATATCAATGACCTAAATATTGTATTTAGGCACACTTTATTCAAAAATTGAATACACGGCCACATTGCCCAACAGGTAAAACATAACTGGCATGCAAACCAGTCACTATGAAAAAAAGAGGAACATGCAATGGAATTTAATCACTTTTTTTTCTTTGTATAATCATTTATTTTATTATTACACCTGATTTACTTATTTATTTACTTAATTTGGAAAAGTAGGCGTTCAACCATCCTTAAATTTTTGTGTACCCCAACATCCACCGTCACCTAAGTACACACCAGTAAATGCTGCCTGGTGAGGTTTACGGAATTACCGCACAATAAAATAATAATAATTTAGGAATGACCTAAATAGACTAACAATACGCAAGTTCAGTAAAGAAGATTGTTTAATAATATATTGAAAAATAGCTGGATGAATGATAATAATCACAAACATAGATGTTGTTAAAATCAAATTAATATATTTTACTATTTAGATTAATTTCTTAGTTTTGCATTGTTTACATACCTGGGCACTTTACGTCCATGAAGTAAGAGTTAGGGCTCTGCACTAGTCTCTTCTTCTTGTGCCTTCTCTTCTCACTCTCTAGGCTTGGGTTCAACAAATCTTTGGCGAGCTTGAAAATAATGAAAAGCTTGCATTAAAATATTATACTTGAATTATACTTTTGTCTGTAGGTCTACTTCGAAAAGCTGAACAAATCCAAAAAGATGTTCAAGAGTGAAAAATATACTAATTTTTTTTTTATAACTATAGTAGTACTATATGAATGATGAAACCCTTCTTCTAATGGTAACGTTTCAGTTCAGGTCTTACCATATCTTTAGATTTAAACCAGGCCTACATATTACAGAATACTGTTTTGGTATGGAGACAGCAAGTTAAAAGTATGCATTGACGAAAATATTTGGTTTATATAAAACTACAGTATGGAATTTCCATTGCTTGTGCAATTGAAATTTACAATCAATTATTGAATAAAAACATTATGCTGCCCTCAACTGACAGATTTAAACCAGGCCTAGGCCTACATATTTTATTACAGAATACTGTTTTGGTATAGACGTAGCAAGTTGAAAATATGCATTGACGAAAATATTTGGTTTATATAAAACTACTGTATGGAATTTCCACTACTTGCGCAATTGAAATTTACAATCAATTATTTAATAAAAACATTATGCTGCCCTCAACTGTTCAGACTCATCACAAACCAAAACACACCTAATTCTTACAATTTATTAAATTGTGATTTGTCATAAATAATAAACATTACATATATTAGTAGTAATAATTTTTTATGGGTTTCAATGTAATTTCCAAACGCATTTCACGGTAACATGCATGCTCGCTAGGCCCATAATTACAATGGGTAACCTAGCCTACCTTGAGCCTGGGCCTACAAAAACGACATCCTCTCAAAACACGTTTTTACTGAGTGTACCATGCTGGTCATTCCCTGTATTTATTCATTATAACTCAATTAATATATAGGAAGTTCAGCCACAAATACACATATTGAGAGAACAACAAGTAGAGAATATGATAGCTTTGAAATAATTTATCAATTCCATTTCAAACTATCAAAATTTGTAAAATTTATCCCTACTTACTGGCATGGTTGCGTCGCGATGTGAAATTCACATAGGAAAGAGACCTTGGATCACGTGACACTATCCGCCATTGACTTCTTCATACGCATGCGCTTTAGATGATAATTGTATTTATAGAGGGCGTCATCTGTTGTTTTGCAACAGCACATGTTGACTTTCCTTGTTTATCAAAATATTGGTCCCAAAATATTAGTCCTCTTTTCATTAATATTCTGTAAGTGTTTCTGATTAAATTCAGTGAATCTCGAAAGTGTATTCGAAAGAGAGTATAATATAATCAATTTCACTATCAGATACTTTATTACCATGCCTAGGCAAGGCTTAGGCCTAGGAATAGGGGCCTACCGTAGCCTCACCTAGCTACTACTGCTACTACTAGCTAGCTAGGCCTAGAGAAGGTAGGCCTAGGCCTCTAGCCCTAGCCTAGTCTAGTACTCTGGCCTAGGCCTGTAGTAGTAGTAGTACACTACTACTAGCCCAGCCCCAGCACTTAATTAACCTTTATAATTTTACCAAGATAGCGTATGGTACCGTACCTGTAGACATATCCTTAAAAATAGAATTGACACTCTGGTTCAAACTATACTTGCTCATGGTTCGGTGGGAAAAGTCGTCTTGGAAATTAAAGTATACACATCAGTGGTGGTGAAGAGGTAAGGCTGGTGTACTGGTTTGAGCTGATCCTCCCCTAGGGTTTGGTTGGTATAACCAAGTCTTCTCCGAAAAGGACTGCGAGTTCTGAGTCATGTCCTGTGAATACATTTTTTTTTTTTTTTTATCATACTTTTACTTTAATCTAAAAAGGCCATTTTCATTTCAGAGAGTAATGACAGAAATGGATGATGATAATGATATTCCAGATTTAGATGATGCAGAAATTGATGATGATACTTGGGATGACTTTGAAGATGAGCCGATGAACTCGGATTGTCCATGTTTGTTTTGCCCTAGAATATTTCCATCAGCTGATCAGGTTCTGCAGCATTGTAATGTAGTACACTGCTTTGATATCACTACAGTACAAAGAAAATATGGTAATTTATGCATAAAAATATACATATTTAATAATAATGATATTTATGGTAATGAATATGTATTCCGAGATAATGAATATACAATTAAAGTAAAAGAACGATTACTGATTTATTTGTTTTTTCTTGACAGATCTTGATTGTATTTCATATATAAAGATGATCAATTTTATTAGAGCAAAGGTAATTATTTATTATCAAATGTTATTGCAGTAATATTAATATTATCAGTGTATTTCCTAACTGAGTTACATGCAGAACAATTTTTGTTTTTATAGAAGCCAGAGCCAGTTCAATTCTTGGAGAATTACCCGATTGGTCAGCTCCCCTGGGCAGCAGATGATTTTATGAAACCTGTACTCAACAATGATCTCATGCTTATATTTGGTAAGCCAATTTATGTAGCGATTCTTAATATGGTGGAAGTTTTGGCTGGTAGAAGTTATATTCACTCTGTGCTGTAACTCCACCTAAAAAGTGGAATAGGTTTTCCTGTTTCAAAACTATGTTTTTTAAGTGTCTTAAAAAATAGTTGTACAATATATCAATTTTTTTTTTCCTCCAGTGCCTGGCTTTAAACTAAAAGATCTACTGTATATCGCTTATAAACTATGTTTATTAGTGATAATCACTTCTACTATGAGATAAGAATATACTGATGTAATTTTTTTTTCACATTGCATTGCAGACATTGAATCAATGACGAAAGAGACCAAAACAAACATTAATGTAAATAATGTTAACCAAGATAATACCGATCGTCATATGGATGAAAACAGCCTGCTGCAACGGTTGAAGGAGGCAGAACATCGGGCAGCAAAAGCTGAGGATGCATTGGTTCATGCAATGAAAGATCTTGATTTAGTGAGGTATGTCTAATAAATTTTATTTTTGCTGAATTGAATACAAGAATAAATTATTCATAGTGTTTAAGCTGTCATTAGCCCAATAGCCAAATCCTAATAAAAAATGCAGAATTTTGCTAAATATTATCATTCAGAATTGGCCAAAAGTTTATAATGGAATTGAAGTTAACATTGCATATATCCTTTTGTTTTGGTTAATCAAATATCTATTTGGCTAATTATTTTCATACCAAATTAGCCAAATTACTAAATATTTTTTTGGCCAGCTTAAACCCTGATTCATCATACTGCATGTGCATCAAGAAAAAAAAAATATTATTTATCAATTTATTCAAGAAATTTCTAATATTACATATTTTTAAAGCAAGAGCTCGTAATTTAGATATTTTTGTTTATTTCACCAACTAGTGTGAATGCCAATAACATAGGGTGCATAAATACAATATAAAATCACTAGATACTTTCATAAAATTGATAAAACATGATTTGATTTTAATTTTTCAGGTCAACTACAAAGAACCTTTTGGAGTGCAAAGATGTTGCAATAGATTCAGAAGAAGACCAATCATATTTTGATTCTTATGCACACTTTGGAATTCATCAAGAAATGTTGCAAGACAAAGTTCGCACAGAAAGCTACAGGGATTTTATTTACGACAACCAGCATATTTTTAAAGATAAGGTAAGAAATTCTCTTATTTCTGTTTTGTCATGATGAGCTATTTTTGTGGTAATATTATTATAATACTCACCATAACTTACATTATGAATTTTTTTTAAAGTTGATAACATAAACTATACATATCAGGAATAACAATACTGTACAATATAAACACCT